TTTTTGGCTCGGCGGTGCCTGAGCGGTGTGTAGAATCACACAGAAGGTGTCTGTACTTCTGTGCGTGGAGGCCGGGGCCAGGTTTCTTGCCTTGCTGTACTTAGTCAAAGTTCGGTCTCTGGCCTTGCTTTACCTAGTGAAAGTTCGTTCTTGAGTTTGGAACATCTGAACCTGCCCAGCTCCTCTTGCGAAGCTTCGTGTGAGCTTGGATACGGATCACTTGCCTAGCACTGCTACTGGCTGGCGAAGTGCATATGATACATCGCTCACAAAAACTTCCTTGAACATGTACGGGACTGTACGAGAATCACCATTGCGGTGGGCTCTTGTTGTCATTCTGGTCCTGCTGAAAGTCAACCCATTGCCCTTCGTTGTAGTTGGTCCATCCTTCTTTTCCGCCCCATCCATCTTTGCCGCCTTTCTGACTGTAGTCCGTCCAGGGGTCTTTTCCGCCTTTGTAGTCCGTCCAGGGGTCTTTTCCGCCTTTGTAGTCCGTCCATCCGTCTTTTCCGCCCCATCCATCCTTGGTGCCTTTGTAGTCCGTGTAGCCGTTCCACGAGCAGTCGTCCGTGGTCTGCGCTGGGCCGTCCGGGCCGGGCCCCTTTCCCTGGGTTGCCTGCTGGAGCATCTCCGCCATACGTTTCTTGACTTTCTCCTCTATCACCTGTTGCTTGACTTTCTCCACGTCCTGCTCCGTGGTGCACCAGTGACCCGTCTCTGTGGCAAGATCGATGACTGATTGCCACAGCTTTCTTCCTTTGCACACAGCATTCTGGACAACTGAGCCTTTGCCCCCGTCCTTTGAGATCTGGGCCAAGACTTTGTACTCCTGCAAAGTTGTGTTGAACAACCACCAATATCCGCACTTCTTGAACTTTTTGATTTGGTTTTGCTCGACTGGCCCCTTCCCTGTGCCGCCACCCGGCGCGCCGGCAGTACCATCTCTCTGTTTGCCACCGTCTCCGTCGGCAGCGCCATCATTGTGGTTGCCGCCGCCTCCGTCGGCAGCGCCATCATTCTGGTTGCCGCCATTCCCGTCGGAAGCGCCATCATGTGTGCTGCCGTCCGCAGGGGCATCATGCACGTTGTCGGGTTGGCTGGTAGCTTCATCGGATCCATGATCGGAGTGCTCGTATTGTGGTTCGCCTTCCTTCATGTACGTCTCCATGTCCTTGAGGTTTGCCTTCATCTCGTCGTGTTGTATCATGAGGGTTTCTTGTCGCACTCGGATCCCCTCCATGTCCTTAACCACTTTGTCCATGCGTCCTTGCAGTGTCTTGAGCATTGTCTCGCCCTCGTGCATTCTCTGGGTGACTTCCTGCATCGACTGGACGGCTTCCTCAACACGTCGGACTGCTTCGTCTGCTCGTGCCTGAAGTTCAGGTTGAAGTTGACGCTCGGTGTCATCTTGTGGAGCAGCTTCCAAGTTGGCCTTGTCTCCCTTCTGGGCTGGATCTTCTCCTTTGGCCTGGTCTGCTCGATCTTGTCGTGCTGTGGGCACTTCTCCTCCTGCCGAGCTCGCGGGCACCTGCTCCTCCCCGGGTTCCTTTTTGGGCACCGCGGCCTCCTCCTCCTCCGATACCTTTCTGCTGCGACGAGGTTGTTGTTTGTTGGCGTGCTTCTTCTTCGGCTTCCTCGCAAGCAGCT